TGCATGGATGAAATAATCTGTTCAACCCACAATTTAAAAAAAAAAAGGTAACAGTGTATGGCCAGTCAACTTTTTATTGCTGTGTCCCCCGATGGGGAGATTTCTCCTTATGTTTTGCATATTTGATAGGGCATAAGAGCAAGAAGTTAGGGCAAATCCTCACACTTCCTATCTACTTGATGGGTGTCAGAAAGAGAGGAAAAATCCCCTCAATCAAGTAGTTTAGTTATGATACACAGTAACTCAGAAGCAATTCAGACATAAAAATCGGCTTGCATTTGAGATCAGGCTGAGATCATGTTGAAGTCTGTCTGAAATAAGTTTAAACTGACTTTTAATGCTTAATATGTAGGAATAAAAACACGTGCCCGTTTGCTTAGAGCAGAACATAAGTCACTAAATTAAAATTTGCTATGGGGTAGTGGTTTTTGGCAGAAGAGACATGGAAAGTCTGTCCTGCCAAAAACCTTCTTTCTCTTCTTCCTGCAATTTGTTTTGGTTTGTGTGCACTGCCTGAGATATGGATTGTACACTCCCAGCTCCTATAAAATGCTGAGAATATCTTCTGTACAGTTGTCGTTTAGCCCTTCAACCTCCTGGTTCTGCACACCTTGTTATAAAAATGTTGAAAAATCCTCCGCTGTTATTGATCAGTCATAGTCAACAAACATGCTTCCTTGTTTGTTGACTATGACTGAGTTTTTCAACCTTTTTTTAGTAGCAGCACCCACATCTCGAGGCACCCCAGTCTAAAATAATGTAAAATCCCTCATCCTAGATATGGATTTTCAGGGGGGATCCCACACAAAAAAATTAATTAGAGTTTCTCCCTTCACATTAGGGTCCCCCCTTTCACATCAGAGTTCCCTTCTTTCCATCAGGAGCCCTCATTCACAATAGTGTCCCTATTTTCATATCAGGGTCCTCCCTTTCACATCAAGAGCCCCCTTTTTACTTTATTACCCCCTTACAGCAGCGTCACATCAGAGTCCTACCTCATAACCATCACCATAGTGTGGCTGCGGCAGTGTGGCAGAGGGCGGGATATGGAGCAGGTCTGGGCCCAGAAATATTCACAAAAGATGCTGGGCCCAGAAATAGACTGGCAGAGGTTCCATCCACGTTGTGGTAAAGGTACATAGATACATGCATAGTTACATAGTTGTTAAGGTTGAATAAAGACAAAGGTCCATCGAGTTCAACCTTTGGGTTCTGCTATAAGATCCATCACAGATATGTCACAAACTGATTTTATAAGTAAAATATAGTCTGTGATTGCACTCTAGACTTATTCGGCACGTGTATATGTGGGTTTCATCTAATGCTGAACATATATATTGGGATTTAATTTTTGAAACATCTAATCAGATGATTGCAAGGCTGTCCCAATAATGAGGCAGCCTGAGGCTGTTGACTCAGGCGGCGTTTCTTTGGGTCACATGGGGGGGAGGGGTCAGCAGGCAGAGTGGCATGGCTGCTCCCCCTTTCTAGCCAGAGCGTCCCAGGTTGCTAAGAATCAGGTGGGGAGATGTATAAGGGCCATACACAGCTCCTCTCCCCTGCTCTTTGC